GACAAACCTTTATCCAAACTAATCAAAGGGCAGAGAGAGAACATGCAAATTAAGATCAGAAATGAAAAGCGGGACATAACCACAGACACTGAGGACATTCGGACAATCATTAGATTTCACTACAAAAGCCTGTGTACCACAAAATTGGAAAATGTGAATAGAATGGACACTTTTTAAGATAAGTACCATATACCAAAATTAAATCAAGACCAAGTGAACAATTTAAATAGACCTATAAGTCATGAAGAATTAGAATCTGTCATCAAAAACCTTCCTACTAAAAAAAAAAAAAAAAGCCCAGGACCAGATGGTTTCAATGCAGAATTCTATCAAAACTTCCAAGAAGAGCTAATACCTATACTCCTTAATGTGTTTTACAAAATAGAAACAGAAGAGTCATTGCCAAACTCCTTTTATGAATCTACATTTACCTTGATACCAAAACCACACAAAAACTCAACCAAGAAAGAGAATTACAGATCAATCTCACTCATGAACATCGACACAAAAATTCTCAATAAAATACTGGCAAACCAAATTCAAGAACACATGAAAAAAATATCCATTATGATCAAGTAGACTTCATCCCAAAGATACAGGGCTAGTTCAATACGCAAAAATCTATCAATGCAATCCATTATATAGATAAACTGAAAGAAAAATAACATATGATCATTTCATTAGATGCTGAAAAAGCATTTGAGAAAATTTATCACCCCTTTATTATAAATGTCTTTGAGAGGTTAGGGATACAAAGTTCATTCCTAAATATAACAAAAGGAATATATAGCAAACCAACAGCTAATATCAAATTAAATAGAGAGAAACTTAAAGCCATTCCAATAAAATCAGGAACAAGACAAGGCTTTCCACTCTCTCCATACTTCTTCAATATAGTGCTGGAAATTCTAGCAATAGCAATAAGACAACATAAAAAGACCTAGGGGATTTGAATTGGAAAGGACAAGTTAAACATTTGTTATTTGCAGATGATATGATAGTATACTTAAGTGACCCCAAAAACTCTACCAAAGAACTCCTACAGCTGATAAGCACCTTTAGTAATGTGGCAAGATACAAAATCAACTCCAAAAAATCAGTAGCCCTCCTATACACAAAGAACAAAGAAGCAGAGAGGGAAATTAGAGAGACATCACCTTTCATGATAGCCACAAATAGCATAACGTATCTTTGGGTAACTCTAAACAAGAAAGTGAAAGATCTATTTGACAAGAGTATTTTGTCTTTGAAGAAAGAAATTGAAGAGGATACCAGAAAATGGAAGGATCTCCCTTGCTCTTGGATTGGAAGGATCAACATAGTAAAAATGGCAATTCTACCAAAAGCTATCTATAAATTCAGTGCAATCCCCATCAAAATACCAAAAAATTCTTCACAGACCATGAGAGAACAATAATCAACTTTATATCAAAAAAAAACCTAGGATAGCCAAAACAATCCTATACAATTAAAGTACTTCCAGAGGTATTACCATCCCTGACTTCAAACTCTATTACAGAGCTACAGTAATGAAAACAGCTTGGTATTGGCTTAAAAACAGAAATGTTGAACAATGGAATCAAATAGAAGACCCAGATATTAACCCACAAACCTACGAACACCTGATTTTCGACAAAGGAGCTAAAACTGTACAATGGAAGAAAGAAAGCATCTTTAACAAATGGTGCTTGCATAACTTGATGTCAACCTGTAGAAGAATGAAAATAGATCCATATCTATCACCATGCACAAAATTCAAGTCCAAATGGATTAAAGACCACACTGAACCTGATAGAAGAGGAAGTTGGAAGGAGTCTGCAACACATGGACACAGGAGACCACTTCTTACATATAACCCCAGTAGCGCAGACAATAAGAGCAACAATGAATAAGTAGGACATCCTGAAACTGAGAAGCTTCTGTAAAGCAAAGGACACTGCCATTAAGACAAAAAGGCAACCTACTGAATGGGAGAAGATCTTCACCAACCCCACATCAGACAGAGGTCTCATCTCCAAAATATATAAAGAACTCAAGAAACTCAACATTAAAATTCTGAATAATTCAATTATAAAATGAGGTACTGAACTGAACAGAGAATTTTCAACAGAAGAGGTTCAAATGGCCAAGAGACACTGAAGGTCATGTTCAGCTTCCTTAGCGATCAGGGAAATGCAAATCAAAACAACTTTGAGAAATCATCTTATACCTGTCAGAATGGCTAAAATAAAAAACACCAATGATAGCCTATACTGGAGAGAATGTGGAGTAAGGGGAACACTCATCCATTGTTGGTAGGAATGTGCAACCACTTTGGAAATCAGTGTGGTGGTTTCTCAGGAAACTGGGAGTCAACCTACCTCAGGATTCAGCAATTCTGGTCTTGGGAATATACCCAAGAGATGCCCTATCATGCTACAAAAGCATTTGTTCAACTATATGTTCATAGCATCACTATTTGTAATAGCCAGAACCTAGAAACAACTTAGGTGCCCCTCAATGGTAGAATGAATAAAGAGGGTGTGGTACATATACACATTAGAGTTATATTCGGCGGTAAAAATGACAACGACATCTTGAATTTTGTATGCAAATCTATGGAAATAGAAAACACTTTATTGAGTGAGATTACCCAGACCCAAAAAGATGAATATGGTATGTACTCACTCATTAGTGGATTCTAGCCCTAAACAAATAACATTGAGCTCATAGTTCATGATCCTAGAGAACCTACATAATAAGGTAAACCTAAAGAAAAACGTATATTTATCCTCCTGGATATTGGAAGTAGACAAGATTATCGGGCAAACCGGGGCTGGGGGTGAGGTGGGGGAAAGGGGAGATTGGGAGAGAGAAGGGAGAAGATAGGATTAGGGAGAACTTGAGAAATAAGATGGTTGAGATGGAGGAAGGGTGGATATGGGAGTAGGGAAGAAGATATCTTAATTAAGGGAGCCATTTTAGGGTTAGCAAGAGACATTGCTCTAGAAGAGTTCCCAGGTGTCCAAGGGGATGTCCCCAGCTAGGTCCTTGGGCAGCAGAGGAGAGGGTGCCTGAACTGGCCTTGTCCCAAAGCCATACTGATGAATATCTTGCATATCAACATAGAAACTTCATCTGGTGATGGATGGAGATAGAGACAGAGACCCACATTGGAGCACTGGACTGAACTCCCAAGGTCCAGAGTAAGAGCAGAAGGAGGGGAACATGAGAAAGGAAGTCAGGACCACGAGGGATTTGTCCACCCACTGAGACAGTGTGACTGATCTAATGGGAGCTCACCCAGGCCAGCTGGACTGGGAACTGATGGAGCATGTGATCAATCTGGACTCTCTGAATGTGGCTGACAATGAGGGCTGACTGAGAAGCCAAAGACAATGGCACTGGGTTTTGATTCTAATGCATGTACTGGCTTTGTGAGAGCCTAGTCTGTTTGGATGCCCAGCAGAGTGTCAAAGTCTGTCTTTCTTTTGAAATGGGAGACTGCTTGTTTGTTCCTGGCTACCCAGACCCAAAATAACCACAGATAAACTGTATTAATCAAAAGACTGCTTGTCCAATCACTTAAATATATTGCTAACTAGCACTTATATCTTCAATTAACCCATTTCTATCATTTTATATTTTACCATGAGCCTTGTGGTTTACTGGTAAATTTCCCAGGAATCTGTCTCCTTCGGCAGCTACATATCTTCTAATCAACTCCACCTACTTTTCCCTCCTCTATCTGCTTGGAATTTCTGCCTTGCCCTATTCTGCACTGCAATAGTCCCAAAGCAGCTTCTTTATTAACCAATGCTATTCATAGCATACATATGGGAAATCCACATCCTTCTACTTACTAATAAAGACTCAGGAGTCAGATGCTGATGTGAAAACCTGTTAGGTCAGAGAAGCTGAGAAGCAACCAGCTGACCTCCTCTTTTCGCTGGAGATCTAAGAGAAGTATCTCTCCATTGGTCCTAAACCAAAACAGACTGCAAATCACTAAGTACCTCCCTACTCTTTCCTGTGCATCTTCTTTTCTGTCTTCCTGACTCCTCTCTCCTCTCTATGGCTAATTACTATGAACTAGTCACTGGCTCTGCCCCTGATCCAAGGCTAATTTTATTAACACAGTCTCAAAGTTTCACAGTGCAATCAAATATCCCATAACTACTGTTACTTTATCTGTGTGTTTGCAAGACACAGCTTATGTGTGGAGTATAGAGGACAACTTTCAGGAGTGGGTTCTCTAGTTCTACCACATGAGTCTTAGTGTCACATACAACTCATTTCAACAGTTCTTTCATTTTGAGACAGAGTCTTCCACTGTGCCCCAGGCTTCCCTGGAAGTCAGATCCTCCTGACTGCTGGGATAGTAGGCATACTCTATAAGGCCCTGTCTTCCCTGTTCCTTGAGGCCAAGCACAGGATGTGAGAAATGTTTATGCTAACCAGCTTAGCTTCCTCTGCTCAATTCTTCCAGCCAGAGGGGATTAGTTCAGAACCTTGTTTCCATCTTTGGTATGGTAATTTCACCTGCTATGGAGGGTTCTCACAGGCGCCCTGAATCTCCTCCTATCTGTCTGTCAGGGTTCCCAGCTTGGTACCCCCTGCCTGGAAGCTCCTGACACTCGGTGCCAGGTGTTCAACACCTTGATGTCACTTCTGGTTGGGAGGGGGCTCTCCACTTCTGGGGCAAAAGTATTTAACCGTGGATTAAGTTTAAATAAACGGACATTCTCCTCCTCTTGGGAATGACTCGAACTCTGTATCTGTGTGTGCATCTTGTGTTTTAAGCCCTAGGACATTATAGAGCTCGTGAAAGGTATGGAGTTGCAGTCCATACTTGGTGGGTGGTGATGCAGACCCCGTGGCATGGAACGCTCGCCACAACACTCTGCCTTGCCATGTCTGTCATAGAGAATTTGTGATTTCCTCAAGCACCTCACCTCTCAGCACTCAGACCTGAGATTCTGACACTTGGTCCACCAAGGGCATGTAGGTCACCCACATACCTGTCTTTGGAGTCTTCATCAGTCCTCTTCTGCACTGCTACTGATGCTTCTTTCACCCATGTATAGTGCTTCCTCCAGGACCCAGCTCCACCTTTCATTGTTACATCACTTTGGCCTGACCCTGTGGCAACCATTAGTCAGTAGAATCACTTTAATTTATTTTAAATTTCTTTTTATTATTCATTTATTTATTCATTCATTTTTTATGAAGGGTTTCATGTAGTCCAGTCTGGCCTCAAACTATATATGTAGTGGCAGCTAAGCTTGGCCTACTGCTCCTTCAGCCTCCACATCACCAGTGCTGGGAAGACAAAAATGTATCACTTTTTGTGCAGTTGAACACTTTCTTCTTTTCTGAAAAACACTGGGAGGGCAGCTGAGTGAGTAAGGAGTTCACTGGTTCTCATATTATACCTCATGCCTGACATATTAACAATGGGCTGCCCCTCCTTCCAATATTCTAATCACTCTAATATCTATGTCAGAGGCCCTGATGTCAGTCTGTAGCTGTCTAATTTGTATGAAAGTACAAATAGATCTGCCCAACCCTAGTGGCTGCCTGTACATTCTGGCTTTTCAAACCTAGGCCACAGGAGTCTGAAGGTCCATGCTGAGTAAATGGAGATTTGCATTCTGTCCTTTATATCGATACAGTACCCAAAACACCCAGAGAAGGGTAATATGTTCCCAATCGGTAACTTCAGTGACCCAATGTGACCAATATATCCTCATGTAGTATGCAAAGACTCCAGAAAAAATGATAGGTCCCTGTGCTGAAACCCAGAAAGTTTTCCAGAAGATGATTTCTCAAAATATCCAAAGTAAGTTTCCAGAAAAGGGTTATAAAGTCTCTAGCAATATCAAAAGAATCCAGAACTGCGTGATAGATTACCCTTGGAGTACCCTTGAAGTAGTCTATCTTGGAGTACCTTTGAAGAGGTCAATAGATCCCCTGTGGGACCCTGTCCTCCCTGATCCTTGAGGCCAAAATACTGGATGCAAATAATGTTTACGCTAACCAGCTAAGCTTCCTGCTAGTTCTGTCCTTGGTTCTGCTACAGCCTGGTACATTAGCCTGAGGGATCTATTTTACTTTAAAATGGTAATTTCTCAACCTGCCTCAAAGAAGCTCAGGCGCCAAGGCCCATCTAACCTGTCTGACATTGCCTTGTACCCTCGACCACCTGCCTGGGGAAAAACTCCCACAGAGGCCAGTTTCCCCAGCCCCCTCTGGGTGGGAGGAGTTTTCCTTTACTGGGGCCTTTATTCTCCTTCCTGCTCCTGGATGGGAGGAGGCCTTGCCTTTTTGATCCTGGTTGCCCACTGGTATAAATACCCGACTTGTGAGTTTAATAAAGTTGCCATTTACTCTTGGTAAATGAGCAAAGGTCTCTTTTTGTGTGTGTCTGTTTTTAACCCTCAGGGCAATCGTCCATTCTCGTGGGCCCGAGTTCGGAAAGGCGCGCGCCTGAATCGGGTGTGGTTATCCACTGGAAGGCGGGCTCTAACAATCCCCCTGCAATATACTCTGAATCCTGAAGAGGGCAATGGATCTTTATTAACATCCCCATGCAGCATACAAAGTATCCAGAAATAAACTTCAAGAAACAGGAAAGGTTCACTTTCAGTACCCAGGGCAACTAAAAGAGGGTGATGGATCAATATGCATTTCCCAGATTATCCAGAAGACGGTGATAGTTTCCTACATAGTAATGTGAGCAAACAGAAGAATGGCATAGATTCCCTTCCTGTACCCAAAGCAGACAGAACAGGGTGATAGTTCCCCCAATTATTTAACAAAAGCATCAAAACAGCTATAGATGCTATGTTAGTTAGGATTTGTGAGACTACTATAAAACACCATGACCAAGAAGCATGTTGGGGAAGAAAGGGTTTATTTAGTTTAAACTTCCAAATTGCTGTTAATTATTGAAGGTAGTCAGGACAAAAATTCAATCTCAAGGTACACAGGAGAGAGTGATAGATTCCCTATGTACATCCCCATGAAATACCCAAAGCATCCAGAAGTCAGCAATAGAATCCTTTGCAATACCCAAATTAGCCAATTGGAGGTGGTAGATTCAAATTTAGATCCCCACGCAGTACCCAAAGAAATCAAAAGAAAGTTATAAGTACACAAAACACCTAGAAGAGCGTGATAGTGCCTTAAGCAGTAAGACAAACATGCAGAAGAGGGCAATAGATCAACTTGCAGTACTCAATGTACCCAGAAGAGACCACTTGAGCCCCAAACAGTATTCAAGTATTAAAAAAGAGGGTACTATACAAAGCATCCAGAAATAGGTGATTGCTTTCTATTCAGTACCATCTGCATAGAGTAAAGAGTAATAGATCCACATACAGTACCCCAAACTCCCAGGATAAGGCAATAGAGCAGTATGTGGCACCAAAACATTCAGTAGAGGATGATAGCTTCCCATAAAGTACCGCCAGAGACCAGATGGGAGTGATATCTCACTTTGTAGTACCATAGTATCCAGTGAAAAGTGCTATGTTCTCAAGCTGACACCTGGGAAGCATCCAAAGTAACCAGATAAGGACAATAAAGTTTCATACAACATCCTAAGCATCCAGAACTGGGCAATAGAGTCCCCTTGGTGTACTCAAAGCATTCTGAAGTGGATAATAAATCCAGTTGTAATAGTCATAGAATACTGGAAAGAGCAATAGATCTTCATTGTTAGTGAGGGGTGGGAAGTAGGGGTGGGAAGTAGGGGTGGGGGAAGGGGTATCATAGCTATCTCCTGTTGGCTGCCACTATAGTACGCAGGGTTGCAGGTTGCTACTGATATGGCATGGGTGTGTGGGATGAAAAAATAAAAAGGAATTCTCTGCTTTATACTTCGTTTCATTTGCTTCAAAGCCTGCTTGTTTCTCTCTGCCCTCTCTCCCTAAACTGCACATATTTCCCATTTGTATGCTTGTTTCAACATGGCAGTCAGAAATGGAGAGGCTCCTGCTCCTCCCTGCAAGGTCCCAAGCTTTTGTCTCTGTAGCATGTACACAGACAGTCCTCAGCACCAGAGCTTGCTGAATTCCCCCATGTCCATGGTACACCCTTGCAGATGTTTTCCCCTTCACACGGGGTTCCTTTTCCACCAGGATTGCTGTTCCTTTCATGGAGGACAGCCACACCTCCTTGAAGCACCTGCTTTTGCTGTTTCTCCCCCTGCACACGTGTGTGCTAGTATGGCTCCAACAACCTAATGTACCATGTGATCTCTCCTATTCCTTCCCATCTCCCAGGGGCTATTATCCTGTCTGCAGAAGCCTAAAAGACCTACTAAAAATCTTTTTCTGTATCTTAAAATTATGCTGTTAACTCTTATCTTGGGAATTAGAAGTTTCCCTTCAGGCCTATATAATTCATAACAAAGTATTCTTCTCATGGGAAATTTTTGTGTGTTGATTTCTCCAGAAAACATCATTAGAAAGTTTGTTTGTGTATTCTAGTGTGTTCAACAAAAACTCAAATGTTTTTTGGTGTTCTATTTTATTAAAAAGCTGTTTTTAGAGTTGGGGCCTTGTTTTCCCCCTTCTCTAGAGTCAGGCATATTTAAATCCTTCCTCTAAGATCAGTGTCAAATTGAGTTTCATGGCACAAAGAACAAAGCAGAACAGCCAAAAAATTAGACTTGTTTGTGTACACATTTTATGCCTCAAGTTTTATAAGTTTATTTTATTGGATTTGGTTAAAAATCTGTTGAATCTATAAAAAGGATAAATTTAAAACTACTAACATATGATTGACATTTAAAAATCAATACATAGGCTTTAATCCTAGCACTTGGGAAGCAGAAGCAGGTAGATATATATGAGTTTGAGGTCAGCCTAGTCTACAAGAGCTAGTTCCAGGACATCTAGGCCTGTCATAAAAAGCCAAACCAAACCAAACCAAACCAAATCAAACAGTAGCTTGCTGCCATATCTAGATGGCTTTATGGCTTGTCACCCATTTTTGCTTGGGTTGGAGAAGATGAATGTCATGTGACTTCACCACCATATAATTAAAGGTGATCACATTGAATGAGCCTACCAAGGAGACAACAATAAATAAATCCTGAATATAAGATATTCAATAATCTACACAATTATACCTTGCTTTTACCTCCTGTGATTTATGGTTGTGTCCTGTTTTATTCCTTTCAAAGTAAAAAAGGGTACCTTATTTTTGAAAGATCTTAAAACTTTTTAAGAAGAAATTTTGAAATTTTACACTTAAATTAAATTACGATTATTAAAAACTGTTTAAGAAAAAGCTTCTAAAAGTATTTACTATTTTTAAGGCATTAAAACATTTTCATTTCATAAAACATTTTATTATAATATAATCTTGATAAATAAGTAGCTTTTACAACAACAAGCATTCATTTCTTTTCCCTAAGCTTCAGCTTCCTTCTCAGTTCTCTTTGTGTGTAAAATTTAGGCAACAGGCCTCACTCTCCTAGAGATTAGACATAGTTTATCTTGTTACCTGTGGGTTTCACCCGAATCTGTGCCTCCCTCCTCCCAGTATGGATTGCGCGCCTTCCATACCTCACCACGAGCTTGGGGCAAGGGTCTGGGGGTTAAACAGAGACACATACACACAGAGATCTGGGTCATTTTCCAAGAAATAGCTGAATGACAAGTTTATTTAGCTTCCGCCAGGTTAATATACTCTTTTTCCCAGAAGAGAAAACTCCCTCCCAGCCAGATGTGAGAGCACAGCGTAAACAGCCTGGTGCCTGTGAGGAATTCCTCTGCAGGCAGTGGGTGCTACCAAGAGTGCAGTGACAGACAGTTAAGAGAGGTTTAGGCTCTGTGGGAACCCTTCTTTGCAGGTGGGAAATTACCATATCAAAGATAAAATGAGGCTCAAGGCTAATTAACCGGGCTGATAGAACAAGCACAGAAGCTAGCAGGAAGTTTGGCTGGTTTAGCGTAAACAGTCCTTGTATTTACATTTTGCGCCTCAGGGAGCAGGGGAAAAACCTGGGATCCAACAGTAACCAATCTTAGAAAAGAGATAAACTTACAAAACAGATTTCAAGGTAACTTTTTCCTGTTTCACTA